TTATTACACTCACTTTCACCCCAGAGTGATTTCAAATAAATTGAGACTGATGTTCTATTTTTGAAATACTGTGACACAATACTTGAATGTCTATCTTTGACGTTCATCAGAAGCTCAATCATTTTAAATTAACTTCATTAGTAGTGATTTTGTTAAATAAACTAAAACCCTATGCAATACATGAAGTGATATCCTAGCTTATTGGGATTTCAATTTGAGGTGCCATGTTTGTCAAACTCACAAAGAGATAAAAAAATTCTTCATTATTTATGAAGAATTGCTTTGATTCTAATCACCCTTACCCAAGGCTAAGCTATTTCTGTTAAATTACTAAGATTTAATATGTTTGAAATGAACCAATTGATCACAAAGGATATTGCACACGGAGAGTCAATCATATATCATCTTTAGGTCATATAAGTTATAGAATGAAGGGATCATTAGACAAGTATATTCCTATGCAAAGAAATTCTCATTTTAAACTCATATCATACCCTTTTTACATTTCCATTAGATTTAGATTCAGATTTATTTAATATTGTCACTTGTACCTAGGTACAGTGAAAAGTGGATAATGTCGCCACATTCTGGCGCCATCTTGGATTACAGAATAAATTACTCAGTAAATTGTATAAATGGTAAAATACTGAATAAGTTAATATTAAATTGATGTTACTAAAACTGAAATAGATTCAAAACTTCATCCTTCCCTCTCCGTAGACTTCACCCTCTCTACTCCTCCAGTCACCAACATGGTCCCCATTGTCCTGGCAACGTGCTCCTGTTCTGCCATCACCGGTGATGTCACTTCCATGTCCACCACCTCTGACGGGTTGAAGACGGTCACGCTGCGTGGGTCCTGCACCTTCTCTGACACTGGACATTGACCGATGGGATCCTGGTTCCAGGTCAACCGAAGGGATCCTGGCTCTTTCTTCTGATGCTGCCACCAAGGATGGAGGGGGGATGGAGATACATGGGGCCCTGGCCTCCAGCAGGAGGACATCAGGAGAAGGCCCCAAGGCAACCAAAACAAAAAAACAAGCTGGAAAGACAACGATGAAACCATGTGGATGTGGCAGAACCTGCCGCATGAACTGCATGATAAATTTCGATGACAATATTAGTGAATGGAAATAACATAAGAACATAAGAACAAGGAGCAGGAGGAGGCCATCCGGCCCCTCGAGCCTGCCCCGCCATTTAATAAGATTATGGCTGATCTTTTTGAGACTCAGCTCCACTTACCCGCCCACTCACCATAACCCTTAATTCCTTTACTGTTCAAAAATTTATCCAGCCTTGCCTTAAAAACATTCAGCGAGGTAGCTTCAACTGCTTCACTGGGCAGGGAATTCCACAAATTCACAACCCTTTGGGTGAAGAAGATCCTCCTGACCTCAGTCCTACATCTGCTTCCCTTTAGTTTGAGGCTATGCCCTCTAGTCCTAGTTTCACCCACTAGTGGAAACAACCTCCCTGCCTCCACCTTCTCTATTCCCTTCATAATCTTATATGTTTCTATAAGATCTCCCCTCATTCTTCTGAATTCCAATGAGTATAATCCCAGTCTACTCAGTCTCTCCTCATAATCCAACCCTCTCAACTCTGGAATCAACCGAGTGAATCTCCTCTGCACCCCCTCCAGTGCTAGTATATCCCTTCTCAAGTAAGGAGACCAAAACTGCACACAGTACTCCAGGTGTGGCCTCACCAGGACCCTAAACAGCTGCAGCATAGCCTCCCTGTTTTTAAACTCCATCCCTCGAGCAATGGCAGACAAAATTCCATTTGCCTTTTTAATCACCTGCTGCACCTGCAATCCCACCTTCAGCGATTCATGCACAAGGACACCCAAGTCCCTCTGCACAGCAGCGTGCTGCAATTTTTTACCATTTAAAACATAGTCCATTTTGCTGTTATTCCTACCAAAATGGATGACCTCACACTTATCAACAGTGTACTCCATTTGCCAGACCTTTGCCCACTCACATAGACTATCTACATCCCTCTGCAGACTTTCAGTGTCTTCTGCACACTTTGCACTACCACTCACCTTAGTGTCATCTGCAAATTTTGACACACCACACTTAGTCCCCAACTCCAAATCATCTATGTAAATTGTAAACAATTGCGGTCCCAACACTGATCCCTGAGGCACACCACTAGCCACTGACCGCCAACCAGAAAAACACCCATTTACCCCTACTCTTTGCTTTCTACTGGTTAACCAATCCTCTATCCATGCCAATATATTACCTGTAATACCGTGCAACTTTACCTTATGTAGCAGCCTTTGGTGTGGCACCTTGTCAAATGCCTTCTGGAAATCCGGATACACCACATCCACAGGTTCCCCATTGTCCACCATGCAAATAATGTCCTCAAAGAATTCCACCAAATTAGTTAAACATGACCTACCCTTCATGAACCCATGCTGGGTGTTCCCAATGGGACAATTTATATCCAGATGTCTTGCTTTTCTTCCTTAATGATAGATTCAAGCATTTTCCCCACTACTGAAGTTAAGCTAACTGGCCTATAGCTACCTGCTTTTTGTCTACTTCCTTTTTTAAACAGTGGCGTCACATTGGCTGTTTTCCAATCTGCGGGAACCACCCCAGAGTCCAGTGAATTTTGGTAAATAATTACTAGTGCATTTGCTATTTCCCCCATCACCTCTTTTAGTACCCTGGGATGCATTTCATCAGGGCCAGGAGACTTGTCTACCTTTAGCCCCATTAGCTTGCCCAGCACTGCCTCCTTAGTGATACTGATAGTTTCTAGGTCTTCACCTGCTATAACCTTCTTGCCATCAGTTTTTGGCATGTTATTTGTGTCTTCCACTGTGAAAACTGACACAAAATAACTGTTTAATGCCTTGGCTATTTCCTCATTCCCAGTTATTAAATTGGCCTTCTTATCCTCTAAAGCACCAATGTTTACCTTCGCCACTCTTTTACGATTTATATATTTACAGAAACTTTTGCTGCCTGTTTTTATATTCTGAGCTAGTTTACTCTCATAATCTATCTTACTTTTCTTTATAACTTTCTTTGTGGCTTTCTGTTGGCCTTTAAAGATTTCCCAGTCTACTAGTTTCCCACTACTCTTTGCTTTTTTGTATGTGATTTTTTACAATCTGATACTTTCCTTTATTTCCTTAGACATCCAGGGCTGGCTCTCTCTTTTCCTACAGTTCTTCCTTATCACTGGAATATACTTCTGCTGAGCACTGTGCAAAATCGTTTTGAAAGTCCTCCACCATTCCTCAATTGACCCACCATAAAGTTTTTGCTCCCATGCTAGCTTCGCTAACTCCTCTCTCATCCCATCATAGTCTTCTCTCCACCTATCTTCTCCTTTATCCATCTTCTATCCGCCTCTCCCCTCTCCCTATTTATTTCAGAATCCCCTTCCCCTCCCCCATTTCTGAAGAAGGGTCTAGGCCCGAAACGTCAGCCTTCCTGCTGCTCTGATGCTGCTTGGCCTGCTGTGTTCATCCAGCTCTACACCTTGTTATCTCAGATCCTCCAGCATCTGCAGTTCCTACTATCTCCAGAACCTCTGACACTCCTGTTTATATCTATCAACCAGGGCTCCCTGACTGGACCAGATTAACAGCCCCAATCAGGGACCTCATTTTCCATGAGGTCCACCTGGCTGACCTCTTTACAGTCACTACAGTTTCATTTTCCCCACCTTCAATGCTTAGCTTATATCTCTGGTGCACATATCCTTGGACAGATAGCTTGCAGTTCAACTCAATCAAATGTCCCCCAACTCCTTCCCGATATGCTGACTGTCCTGGGATTTAAAACTTAAGATCAGAACATTCATTTCAAAAAGTGAGGGAATGTACTGGTTTGATTTTATGTGAACGGGTTTCGAATGACTTCGAAATATTTCAGACAGTTGATCGTTACCAAGACCACGGCCTATAGCATTGCTAGAAAATTGGACAGAACAAAGACTTTTCAAATATCTAAAACAAGTAAAAACAGAGAATATGAAATAGATAATTTCACTGATTCAGCCACAGTAAATTAGCAATGTAAATGCAAAATACTGCAGCTTCTACAATTGTGAAATAAACAAAAACAGAAAATGCTGGGAATGTTCAGTAGATGTGATGGATTTAAAATTTCAGATCAACGATGTTCAGGTGAAGGGACATCTGCCTGAAATGTTAACTCTGTTTCCAGCTCCACAGATGCTGCCAGATCCACTGAATATTTCAAGAATTTTCCATTTTAATGACACGTAATAATACACTGCACAATCCAAGGCAAAAATATCTTTCACATTACAAAACACTCTTAAGATTCTGCTTAATCGTCTCCAGCAAGGCTTTGGCAGATCATTAACGTTATTGGAGACAACATCTCTGCTGCATATTTCCTGTTGGTTACATTCCTCTTGTCATATCAAAGTGTTACACACTACAGACTGTCTCATACTTTATAGGGAAGGATAAAGATACTTATTAGGAACATACAAAACAACACCAGAGCCAAGATCTCTGCAGTCTAGAATACAAATTTGTCCAATGCTTAATTCACAACTATTTCTATGTATCCATGAGGCAATACATGCTTATATTACATACCAGGTTACAATCCAACAGGTTTATTTGAACTCACAAGCTTTCAAAGCATTGTCCCGAAGTCTTCACCTGATGATGGAACAGTGCTCTGAAAGCTTGTGATTTCAAATAAAAGGAGTATAACCTGGTATCGTATGACTTCTGACTTTGTCCATCCCAGTCTAACACCGGCTCATCCCCATCAATGTATTACAGATGGCATAACATTCTTGACTATATAAAATAGAATGTCCCCTCCCTTACCAAGACCAGCATCACAGCAGGTTTTAATTTTTATCTCAACATAGATTCTTAGGAGCAGAAGGTCTCCAGAATGCCTCCATTCCATATTACAGCTTACAACATTTTTGTGAGACGATGCCTCAGCATAATATTAATCGTTTTCTCCAATTACCTGCAATGTGTGCTCAATAGCATTGGGAAAATTCTTGAGCGTACAGATGGGAATGGAATTTTCTGGAGCGTCCCCGCTGGATGAATAGGACTCGGTAAGGTGAGGAACGACAACCTGGAAGTTTCCTTTCGTACCCAGTGTACCTGACTCCAGCAGTGGTTTCTGGTATAAGACACAACGGCTATCCATGTAGCGTCCTGGAAGCAAAAGGAAAATGGACATTACAAACAACATTTCTCCTGAAATGTACATCAAATTTTCGGAGGATATCTTAGATCTAGTGTTAAATGTTCTGTGTGCAAGACTGTATCGGATACGTACGATCCTTATTTGGATATTGCTCTTGAAATAAGGCAAGCACCCAATATTGTCAGAGCCCTCGAGCTCTCAGTGAAGCCTGAGTTCCTCAGTGGTGAGAATGCTTATATATGCGCGAAGAGCAAGAAGAAGGTTCCAGCTACCAAACGCTTTTCCATTCACAGAGTTTCAAATGTGTTGACCCTGTCCCTGAAATGATTTGCAAACTTCAGTGGTGGTAAAATCACAAAGCATGTTGGTTATCCTGAACATTTGAATATGTGGCCATATATGTCCCAAAGTAATGGTGAGCCAGTCAATTATGGATTGTATGCAGTGTTGGTACATTCTGGGTATAGTTGTCATGCTGGACACTACTACCGTTATGTCAAGGCCAGTAATGGGCAATGGTATCATATGAATGATTCAATGGTTCATTCTAGCAATATCAAGGTGGTGCTGAATCAACAGGCTTATGTACTTTTCTACTTGAGAATGCCAACAGCAGTGTAGATGATGCATCTGAGCAGAACCTGTTACAGACCCTTGCCAAAACCAGTAATGGCACAACCATGCCCAAGAAGCCCACACTGAATGGATATTCGAGTTCACCTCAGATGACAAAGAAACCAGAGTCTCTGCAAGCAAAGTTGCAAGCTTCTGCAAGTGTTGGTGTGCCAGTCCCAAGAAACAGCACTAACCAGTCACCCAAGCTTCCAGTGAAACCAACATGTGCACCAACCTTCATAGATGAGTCATTGAAGAGGATTGAGAAATCTTTACCCCAGCTACAATCAAAATCTTCTCAGGGCCAGTCAGCAAGTAACTCAAGTAGTGGCAGAACATCAGTATCAGAAAATGCAAAGGTGACTGCACCAGAAAGCAAGGAACGACCTACATCTAGCTCATTCAAGTCATTGTTAACTGGTGGATCTGAGCAGAAAGGAAAAGAAGATATCCATAACACACAGAAAGATTTTGGCAGTGCAAAACGCAGTTTGAATGGGAGCAACGTTGCAAAAAATGGATTGAATAACCAACACTCTGAGCCCAAAGACTCGGATTCAGAATCTCAAACGCACAGCTCAGCCAATGAGAGGACTGAGAGTAGTGCTGAGGATCAGGGAGTGTCCAAAGTAAAGCCCCAGCTGCTTGCAGGAGAGCAGTCTAACACAATGTCACCACCTCCAGCTAAGAGGCTTGCACTGTCAGCCAAAAAGGTTGGTGTGCGATGTGGGGTGCAGGAATTGTTATGCATCTAAATATTTATATGTTGGGAGTTAGTTAGTTCACTTCGCTGGACCGGTGGTTTGTAATATTGAGTGATGCTAACAGTGTGGGTTCAATTCCCAAGCTGGCTGAGACCATTATGAAGGTCCTGTCTTGTCAATATCACCCTTCACCTGTGGAGTGGTGACCATCAGGTTAAACTCATTGCCAATTATCTCTTTCTCTGAGAATATCCCTATGGTCCTTTGGGACTGTGGTGGCTTTATATGATGTTCTCAAGTTGCATTGTTTTCAGGTAGACCTATAAATTAACATTTAATCATACCAGTTATGAGTTTGTACTTGTGTTAATGCATGATGGTGATAGTACTTCATTAGATCTGTGTTTAGGAAAGGTTTTTTTTAGCTCACGGGTTTTTGGTGAAAAAAGATGCTTTTACTTAGAAGCATTTGCAAATTTGACTGTGCTAAAGAATTTAAATAAATAAAAAAAAGCTTGCTTTTATTATTGTAGCGGTATAATAGGAATGTTGCTGCACTAACAATCCTGAAACCAAGGTTCATTTCACTATGCTCAGTGACAGGAATGGAAGAGTTCTTTGTATTTTATTGTTCTTTTATTGGACTGCGTACAATATATACAGAGCAAGAAAAAGTCTCTATGTGATATCCTGGAGGAAGACTTCTCATCTCATTAGCTATTCTATTGATAGCTGCTTCCCTTCTATCACACAGGCTAATGCTCTGCAAACATGGGTCAAATTCTATCACAGCAGATAGTGGAATTTGAATTTCAATTAATAATCCTGAAATATAAAGCTCGTTTCAGTAAAGCTGACATGACAACTGTTGTAAAATTCCAAATAAAAACCGAAAGAACTATGGATGCTGTAAATCAGGAACAAAAAAAAAAGTTGCTGGAAAAGCTCAGCAGGTCTGGCAGCATCTGTGAAGAAGAAAGTCAGAGTTAGCGTTTCGGGTCCGGTGACCCTTCCTCAGAACTGGGGAACAAGAGGTTCATTCAATGACCCACACCACAGTTCATTGACCCCATGGAAAGCCTAAGGCTGTAGGTCCACCTTGAAACACAGCTTTGCGTGTGTTATTCCTAGTAATGTACAACATTATCATTTGTTGATATACTAATTGAACATGTTTGTTGTGCAGTTTAAACCAGTAAACACATGGACAACAAAACAATTTAACAGCAGAGAGCAGGCTCTGCTGATTGTAACTGTGATATTGTTGCATTGACTGAATTGAGCTGCAGAAATACCTGCAGTGAGCAGTGTTACTTGGGTAGTTCCAGCTCCGTACACCGTATGAGCTGCTGTTCATGATAAGGGTTGCTGCCACCATCCTCCTTCAAATGTAGGAAACTACAAGGCCTGCTTGGTGCAGTGTGGGAGTGGAAAACCATTTTCTGGTCTAACTAGAACAAGTCTCAAAAAAAGCCCCGAAAGAACTGTGAATGTTGTAAATCAGAAACAAAAACAGAAACTGCTGGAACAGCTCAGCAGGTCTGGCTGGCTCAGTGGTTAGCACTGCTGCCTCACAGCGCCAGGGACCCGGGTATGATTCCACCCTCGGGCGACTGTCTGTGTGGAGTTTGGTCATTCTCCCTGTGTCTGTGTGGGTTTCCTCTGGGTGCTTTGGTTTCCTTCCACAATCTAAAGACATGCAGGCTAGGTGGATTGGCCATGCTAAGTTGCCCATAGTGTTCAGCAATGTGTAGATTAGGTGGGTTATAGGGGGAAGGGTTTGGGTGGGATGTTCTGAGGGTCAGTGTGAACTTGTTGGGCCAAAGGGCCTGTTTCCACACTGTAGGGATTCTATGATCTATGATCTGTGAAGAGAAATCAAAGTTAATGTTTCAGGTCTGGTGACCCTTCCTCAGAGTCTCTTGCAGCTAACAATATATAATTTATTGCATGTTAGTAACTCGTTACAGGTTACATTGATATGACAGACATTGTTAGAGATTTTGAGGAGGGCCAGAAGCTAGATCTTGCTCCTATGAGATTCTTAGCTATTCTGTCCACAAGTCCATATTACATCATCAGACTTCAGTATTAATGCTTTCAGACCCTTACACAACAAATAGTAAAAATGACTGTTGGTAATCACAGACAAGGCAATTGGTGTATAAGGTGTTGGTTCTGAAAGGGCTAGTGTTGGAGACTTCTTTAGGCTCTACCTGATCTGGTGAAGTCTCATGGTCTAGAGTGAAGCATTAGGATGGCCGGCTCCACATCTTGATCAGGTCAAATGTGTGAACCCTAATTCCTCGTGGTCTTAGCTACTATGTCTAAATAACCACAATGTAACTAATATCTATTAACATTCAAGGTCAAAAATCACATGACACCAGGTTATAGTCAAACAGGTTTAATTGAAAACACAAGCTTTCGGAGCTTCGCTCCTTCTCAGGGGCCAAGCTCTATTTTGTTGTTAAGGCATGTGCATCTTCTTCTTAATACTTGGTGACAATTCCTCTTCTTCTGCTGTTAACTGAACAGGCCCTTAGTCCCAGTATAGAAAGGAGGATTGGAGGCAGCACACTCTCTTAACAATTATCTGGTAATAGTTTATTTTGTAAACATGTATCACAGTGATCAGCATTTGAATTTACGCTTAAATGACTGAAGGTCAAAAGGTGGGAAATAAAATCCATTTGACACAGGAGATAAAAAAAATTCAGAACACAAGGGACTTTACTGTATTACGGACATGACCGCTTTATGAATACTCAGTCAGGAATTCAGCAGCTGTAAGAACAGTCTGCAGGATGTTTAAATGGAAATATGGGGTGAAAGCAGAACTCCAGCTTAAAATGTTCACTTCAGAGCTGATACACTGCACAGGAAAAGACAGTATGGACTGGTGAGAAAGCAATAAGATTAATCACACTTGATAGAGTCCTTAGAGAAAAAGAAACTAGAGGGATAGCACTGATTTGAGGATTGGCTCGGAAGCAACTGCATTTTGATCTATGGCAATAAAGTTAAAAGATGCCTGTAGGCAAGTGGAAAAAAAAACTTTAAAGATTTTTTTTTAGATGCAAACGTCCAAATTAGCAAGTTTTGAGTTTAAATGGAGCATCTATTGTACACAGAGAATGTCTCCACCATAGCAAGCACACATCATAAGCAACAAAGCAAAGGACCATTAATTTATATCAAGAACATGTTGCTAGGAATGTCACAGAGCAGATTTATAGTGACAGAAAGGCAATTCACAAGATTTAGAAGATCAAATCTAACAGAAGAAGATAGTTAGAACAGTTTGAGACTGTGATAACATTGGGAGAAATAATATAGATTGCTGATTTGGTGGGATTATTTATTAAGGTAGGAAGAGTAAAAACTTCAAAACTAGCAATCTACAACGTTAAGATGCTATAATTTTAAAACAACTTTATTGTATTAAAAATAGCCATTTTAAGAAGCAATTTTGTTTTATTCACTTGTGGGATGTGGGCATCACTGGCTGGGCCAGGAGAGATAATACTACCTCAAATATTTAATGTCAGAGATGGGCCAAACAGTACACAGATCTAGGCATTTTGGACAAAATACTTCTTAAAGTACAGAATTGCTTCAAAATTAAACGTTAAATCTCAAGCTGAATAAATAAATACACTACTGTATTTAACAGGACCTGCAACTGATGCAGTTATAAATAGCCAAAATATAAATGATGCCTTTGAAGAAGCTCTTACAGCTTTTGAAAATTATGTTAATCTAGGAACAAACAATCTTCAAAGGAGAAGATTTAACAGAAGAGTACAGCATCTAGCGTCCACTGATAATTTAATTAATGACCTCTACAAATTAGCGAAAATGGCAGCTATTGAGCATCAAAATCAGAATTCATGAGAGACAGGATTATCATTGGTGAGGCTTTGTCAGCATAATTACAGTTCAAAAGTGTTCTGATCTTGGACAAAGTTGTTCAAATTGCACTGGAAGCAGAAAATACGATGACTCACGGTCAAATTTTGAGAGAAAAAGGACAATTTTACCACAGGAGAACAAATCTACTTTACAAAAACGTAAACACTCTGAAGAAATATATGAAATGCTAACACAAAGGGTAGGTAAAACAGCAGATAGGAAGGGTCAGTGTAATTTTTTTTTTCTTTATTGGTTGACGGGATAAGGACGTCGCTGGCAAGGCAAGCAATAACACCACTAGGCCATTGCCTCCCCCAAGTGCTGTGGAACATAGCATAATAAGTGTCCAGCAATCACAACAGTGTGCTACATCTCTGGAGCTAAAGGTCATTCCCAGAAGATGTATAGAAGTAGGTGCAGTTTCAGAGCAACGAGTGAAATGCTTACTCAAATAAAGGTGTTAATGCGATAGAATCATCACCATTAGAAATGATGGAGGAATTCCTAGGGAGAATTCTGATTGCATTGGTGAGTTGGACAGAAGTCATTTGCATAAATTGGCAGCTCATTAATTTTAAGTTTGATGCAGGGTTGAGTGCCGCTGTCCTATCAGATAGAATACCATGGCTGAAGAAACAGAGACTACAACCCACACATGTAAAATGAGTAACCCTCTGGGTAAAGGTATGCTACAAGTTACATGACAAGAGAAAGAGTGTCAAAGTTTGGAAAATGTGGATGTAATTCACAATAGACATTTCTCACTGCCATTTACAATACTAGGTAGATTGGTTGGAATGGATGAATTGCCTTAGTGTCCAACAATCATGCTGGCCCCACTTCCTTAGGCACCTTCAAATTAACTCTGTTTTAGGTTGTGTAATCGTGCCGGAACAGCTTGCTGTGCTGTGAAAGATTATTCACTATTTCAGGAATCTTTGTTTCCACAAATTGTTAAGGATTGCCATAAGGTTAGGGGGAGGGGTGTGGGGGTTTGGATTCAACCCAATCATTGTGCTGCAACAAAAGTGCAACTAAATTAATAAGGCTTTAAATGCTATAGAGTGCTAAATATAAGAGTCAGCTGTGAAAAAGATTGAAATTTCACAGCCATCAAAGAAAGAGATATTTAACACCAGTGGTGAATGAACAAAATTGAGACATGAAAAGTTGCTAGTTGCTTCATCATAGTGAAGAGTTCTTCAGTATTTAACCCAGTGTCTCTCCAGTCACTATTCTGTGGGTGGTTAAAGAGTTTCTTACACAAACCACTGTTTAGAGAGAGACATTCTTCTTCAAACTGTGTTTGAGCTCCAGAGGTAGACGAGCGATTCGGTGGTCACTGAGAATGTGCCCAAGAAGTAATTTTTGCATAAACGCTTATAGAAGAATTTTGAGACTTGTAATGTTGGTTGCACTCTCATCTCTGGCTCAGAAGCTTGTGCAGCTTTCACTCCAACAGTTTGAGCCTTTGCTGTACTGAGGGAGGGCTGGATTGTCTTTCTTTTCTCATGAAATATTAAAGCCAGATGTTGTTTACCCTCTTGCGCGGATGTAAAGATCCCACGGCCAGTATTCTGTAGTAAAAAGAACTGCAGGACAATTGTCCGAGCTAAACTTCATCAGCATCACCAAAAACAATAGGATTGTTTGTATTGCTCTGCCAAAGAATCAGCACAGGCATTATGGTAGAATTGCCATTTTCTGTGCCATAATGACTAGGTCATTGATGGTCGTGGGATCTTTTGGTTTACTTTACCCCTTCATGGAATGTGGGTATTGCTGGCAAGAGTCAAGTTCATTGTCAATTCCCAATTATCCTTGAATTGAGTGACTTGCTTGAGCATTTCAGAAGACAGCTAAGAGTCAACTACATTGCTGTGGGTTTAGAATTGAATTTTGGGTGGATCAGCTGAGGATGGCAGACTTCCTTTCGAAAGGACCTTTATAGAACCAGATGGGATTTTACAACAATCTCTCATTGTTGTTTTGTTGACCATTATTGAGACCATTCCAGGTTTATTAATTGAACTCAAATTCCACCAGCTGTCGTGTAGGGGTTTGAACCCATGACCCCAGATGCATTAGTCTGAGCCTCTGGATTACTGTTCAGTGACATGACCACTATACTACCATCCCTCATTGTGCATCAATTGGTACTGCATTTCTCTGCACCCAAAGTAGTGAACTTCACCTGGCTATAAATTGGGACACCCTGAGGTCACAGAAGGCGCTACATAGATGCAAACCAGTCTTACTTTCATTTGCAATCCATGGTAATGTGCAGTAAGGTGAAAGATTCTGCTCATCAAACACTATATATCTTTTACAAACATGTCAACATTGGCAGTTAACTGTCACTCATTTAAACCGTGTCACTTACGTGTTTCCACATTATCCAATGCATTTGCCACTCCATTCAGATTCTCAAAGAAATCCTGATTGTAGACGTTCTCAGTCTCTGGCCCAACACGGTTCTGATGAGCAATGACTTGCAAAGAAGGATTCATCTGTCGCACTGCCGCTGCAGCTATCTCAGACTTCATTTTCTATTTCAGGGTGTAAAAACGAGCACAGGTCAGACTATATTAGTGCTCTTCCACGTACAAAAGCCTATGGTTTGTCAACAGTACAATTCATTCCCCTGTCCCCACCAAATTAACCTCCCCACATGCACTTACAAGGGTCGTGACAGGACAGGATGCAATCAGAGGCAACTGGCACATGGTCAGGTGGCTCATCAAGCTCATCTCTTAAGAACGTACAAAATAGAAAAGGGAGCAGGTTACTCAGCCTCTTGAGCAGCTTTACCATTCAGTAAAACCATGGCAGATCTGATCACAGCCCTAACTCTACATTAGTGTCTGCACCCAATAACCCTCTACAAGCATATAGCTATCAAATATCTGGTGAGCTCAGTCTTGAATATATTCAATGGGCCAGCCCCCACCTCTCTCTCTGAGAGTCAGTAAGACCATAAGATGTAGGAGGGGAAGCAGACCATTTGGCCCATCAAGTCTGCTCCTCCATTCAATGAGATAATGTTGATCTGATAATCCTCAAGTCCACTTGAAAAAGAACCAATGCCAAAACACCAACTTTGCACTTTTCTGTGGCTTTAACCTCCTCCCGGCCTAGATCAGAGATAATCATTGTAAGTGGAGCAAACAGACATCTCTTTAGCTAGTTTTATGTTACCATTAGTTAATTACATAGCCGTTGGAATCTTGAGGCTGGGACAGAAATCCTGGGCCATGGTGCTGTACATGGCATGGGCCCGTGACCCCTGACCTAAGCAGAGCAGGTCCTTCCCAACCTGAGCACAGGGCCCACACCCCGCCCACCCCCCAGCCTGAACACAAAGTCCCGTCCCAGACCACAGGTATTGTTCCCTCATGTTCACCCACTCCTTGCCTGTCCTTGCCCCCACCTTGAGCAACCATCCTATTTCATTTATTTTAAAATGCTTTTTCTTGATTTCAAATCTCTCCCTGGCTTTTTCTCTTCCCTTCTCTATTACCCCCTCCAGACCTCCTCTTGTACATCCCACAGATTTTATTTACTGCACAATTGGTTCCTTCATGTTCAGCTGTTCGGTTCTAAGCTCCGAAATTCCTTCCACCTTCTCTGGCTTCCTCTAAACCCTCTAATCACCTGTTCTAATATCTCCTAATGTGGCTTTGTTTTAAACTATATTTGATAATCTCTGTCTCCATCTCCGGCAACCACCTAGAAACCGATATCCATTTCAAGCCTACCGACTCCCACAGCTACCTAGAACACACCTCCTCCCACCCACCTTCCTGCAAAAATGCCATCCCTTATTCCCAATTCCTTCGCCTCCGCCGCATCTGCTCCCAGGATGAGGCATTCCACTCCTGTACATCTCAGATGTCCTCGTTTTTCAAGGACCGCAACATCCCCCCCTCAGTGGTCGAGAACGTCCTCGACCGTGTCTCCCGCATTTCCCGCAACTCATCCCTCACACCCCCTCCCCGCAATAACAACCAAAACAGAATCCCCCTCGTCCTCACGTACCACCCCACCAACCTCCGGATCCAACGCATCATCCTCCGACACTTCCGCCATCTGCAATCCGACCCCACTACCAAAGACATCTTTCCCTCCCCACCCTTATCTGCCTTCCGGAGGGAGCACTCTCTCCGTGACTCCCTTGTCCGCTCCACACTCCCCTCCAGCCCCACCTCACCTGGCACTTTTCCCTGCAACCGCAGGGAGTGCTACACCTGCCCCCATACCTCCTCCCTCACCCCCATCCCAGGCCCCAAGAAGACATTCCACATCAAGCAGATGTTCACCTGCACATCTGCTAATGTGGTATACTGCATCCGCTGTTCCCATTGTGGCCTCCTCTACATCGGGGAAACCAAGCGGAGGCTTGGGGACCGCCTTACAGAACACCTACGCTCGGTTCGCAATAAACAACTGCACCTCACAGTCGTGAACCATTTCAACTCCCCTTCCCATTCCGCAGACGACATGTCCGTCCTGGGCCTCCTGCAGTGCCACAACGATGCCACCCGAAGGTTGCAGGAACAGCACCTCATATTCCACTTGGGAACCCTGCAGCCCAATGGTATCAATGTGGACTTCACAAGCTTCAAAATCTCCCCTCCTCCCTACCGCATCCCCAAACCAGCTCAGCTCGTCCCCGCCTCCCTAACCTGTCCTTCCTCCCACCTATCCCCTCCTCCCACCTCAAGCCCCACCCCCATCTCCTACCTACTAGCCTCATCCTGCCCCCTTGACCTGTCTGTCCTCCCTGGACTGACCTATCTCCTCCCTACCTCCCCACCTACACTCACCTTTACTGGCTCCATCCCCGCCTCTTTGACCTGTCTGTTTCCTCTCCACCTATCTTCTCCTCTATCCGCCTTCTATCCGCCTCCCCCTCTCTCCCTATTTATTTCAGAACCCCCTTCCCCTCCCCCATTTCTGTTGAAGGGTCTCGGCCCGAAACGTCAGCCTTCCTGCTCCTATGATGCTGCTTGGCCTGCTGTGTTCATCCAGCTCTACACCTTGTTATCTTTGATAATCTTCCTGAGTTGTACATTGGGATATTTCAGTCAGTTAAAGGGAACGGCATAACCCACAATTATTGTAAAGTTGCTATCAGAGTTAACTGGGCTGGGGGTGGGTGTGCGGGGTTTGGGGTTGGGGGGTGGGGGTGGGGTCTTCACCTCTCCAGTAAAGCTCAGCTGAAACCCAGCTGCCCATAATCCATCCAGCACCAAATTGTCTTCACCCATTCAACCAAGATCTCGCAACTTTAAACGCTCTATTACGGAGAAGCTGTTCCCTGCTCAGAAAAAGAAAGAAAGAACGAGAGGGGGTAGGTTTAAAGAGATCTGCAAATGAAGGTAGGGTGATGTGAGGGGATAAAGAAACCTTTTTCTCACAGTGAGTGCTTAAGGTATGGTACAGGGAGGTTCAGTCGAGACATTCAAGAGGATGATTATTTGGATAGAAATGGTGTGCAGGGACTTGGGAAAGAGGCAGGCAATTGGCACGAGGTAATAGACAAGGTGCAGGAACGATGGGCCAAATAGCCTCCTTCTGCACTGTAATCGTCACTCCTCCCCATCTCCGGGATCTTCCCTGGCCCCACATTGTTCTGAAGAGGAGTCATATTGGACTTGAAATATTATTTCTCTGTTGAGTTATTGAGTTCCTCCACCATTCTCTGTGTTTGTTTCCCCTTAGTCTTCCTTGTTCTGCGTCCTCTTGTGTTCCTCTCCAACTGCTCTGAAAGTCCCTCTCTTATCTCATCCCTCAAGATCTTACCTAAAACCAATCTCTTAGACCATTCACTCTCTCTTAACATCTCCTTCCTTTTAGCTGGCTGTTCCTTCCTGATTGTGTTTCAGTGAAACACTTTGCAAAATGTTCCTTTGTGAATGGCCTCATCCAAAATAAACTGCAGCATGTCCTTGTTCCAGGGCTTCTCATGTGGTGAGGGGCCAGTCTTTCCCCTAAAGCCAGACATCAACAAAATAACGAGCTTGCCACAACAGAGAAGCACATACCAAAGACAGAGGAGAAAGTTTATACTTAAAATATTTGCAGAAAATCTCTGCAAAAGAACAAATATTTTGAAAGTCAGCCTATTGAAAAGCATTGTCATTAATTAGTTGCCAGGGGCCAGCATAAAACCAAAGCCTGTAAGGATGTGGGAATCGGAAGAATTAGCTAAAGGGTCTCTGTAGTACATGCGCTTTTAATCAGCTTTCAGTTTGAGTTGGGATTTTAGGGAACACAATCCAGTCATCGAGACGAGAGAGACAGACAGACAGAGAGAGAGAGAGAGCAAAAAAAAATTGGCTTCAGTCAGCCTGGGAAAAATGCACAAGTGGTTGGGGGAGGAAGCTGATCTGGGATTAATGAGATCCATCCGTTGGAATGCTGCTACATTCAATGTCACGTGTCTGCACAAAATGAGCGATGTCAGGCTATTCGACCACAGAGGCATCGCTCTCAAACCCCCATTGTAGCCCACTGCTGAGAGGCATCCGTGTACTGGAAATGGGACAGCGGACAGGGCTGAAGGGGGTTTCTGCAGCTATGATACCCAGTGCTAATTGTAGATATTTACTCTTCCCCCTGTTCAGACATGTTACTGCACACCTCTGGAGCAGGTGGGGCTTGAATTTCCTTTCCCCCAGCTGAGGTGAGGCGTAAACTGAGTTACAATAGTACAAGCACTAGCTATGGAGGGTGGAGTGGGAATGTGTGGAACAATCATGGATGTTACAGGGACAGATCCAAAACAAGCAAACCAGCCAGGGAGTGCAGTCCTGTTGGAGGTGCCGTCCTTCAGACAAAACATTGAACCAAACCCTCCGAGGTGGAACGTTAAACATTCCTTGGCATTGGGAGGAGACGAGAGGAAAAGAGCACAAAGTCTTTGTTAAATTCCTGCTGGCCATGGAGCTGCTGTTGGAACAGGGGCTAACGATTGCAAATGGTGCTTAAGTGATGTGAAGTATTTCAGCATATCTTACAACAATGAAAAGTGCTACCATAAATGCAAATCTCTCTCTCTATTCCACAGATTAATATTCTCTCCTGACGCTCTATCAAATCCTCTCCACCAGACTCCATAAGACCATGACTGTACTGACTGATTACCTTGGCTATTAATGCCATCCTCCAGTGCCCTTTATATCTTCAGTCAAATGAACAGAATCTTTACTTACAAAGACACTCTGCACCATCGTGTTCTGTACTGCAGCATTGCAAGGCTGCTTGCAATGGCTCCCACACGCACAACAAATGAGGGGCCCCCAGACTCCATTAATGAGACATGCATGAGAACATAAGAAACAGGAGCAGAAGTAGGCTATCCGGCCCAACCAGCCTGCTCCACCATTCAATAAAATCATGGCTGATCTTTTCATGGGCTCAGCTCCACTTACCTGCCCGCTCACCATAACGCATAATTCCCTTATTGTTCAAAAATCTACCTATCTTTGCCTTAAACAAATTCAATGAGGTAGCCTCAACTGCTTCACTGGGCAGGGAATTCCAC